CCCCCCCAGCCCGCGCCCCAGGGCAGGAGGTTGAAGTAGGAGTCGCCAGCTAGGACTGGGGGGCGCTGAGGCTGACCTGCCCCCTCCTCACCACTACACATGGTGTAGTCCCAGAAGCGAGGGAGGTGGAACCAACCTGACAGCCTGAGCAGGTGCGGCCAGAGGCCTGGAAAGAGGCCCAAGAAGCCCGTGGCCTCTGTGCAGAAGTTGCTGGCTTCTGCAGGGAACATACCCCCATCCTGGCAGTGAGATCAGACTTTCAGGGGTGACCAGAGAAGAGTCGGTTCCAAAGCCTTGCCCCCACGCGGCACACTGTTCCTGGGTGCCCCTCACCAGACAGGAAAGCCATCTTGGAAATGTCTCCAGATGGCCCAGTTGCCCACCCAGGCAGAGCAGTGGCCTCCTGCGTGTGGCCAGTCCCTGTCTCCAGAGAGCCGGACCAGGTAGAGGAGGGCTAGGATCCAGGCTCTGCCTAGGATCGCGGGGATGAACGCTGGGCCGTAGAATGGAGCGGCGGGGGTGATACTCAGGACCCCCTCTTGCCTGTTGCATGGTTTCAGGCCCTTCTGTCCCGGCTCATTCCTTCTATGCCTTCGAGGGCCCCCAGAGATCCCTGCCCTGCCTCCCTCCTAGAAAGGGGAAAGTGGGTGCCAGATGCTGGGACTCACTCACCGAGCCCCAAAAGAAGATCCACTGAAGGACGGCCACCGCTTGGAGACCCTGCAGGAGGCCGGCACGCTGTGGAGGGGTGATCCCACAGGGGCTGCCGTGGGCTCTTAAGTACTCTCCTCATGGTCCAGCCCGCCAGCCCTGGCCCTTGGTCCTGGTTCGGCCCCCGTTTCCACCCTCTTTGCTGCACACTGTACCCTTGTGAGCCCCAGGATGAAGAGTTAACCACTCCGTGAACCCACGGGCCCGTGACCAATAGGACCAAACAGAAATGCCCAGGGGTGTGGCCAGGAGCCTGGGGGTGAGGAAGGTGTTTGGACCTTGCGCCTTTGTGAATAGCCAGGCTGACAGAGGTCTGGGAAAGCGGGTGTGTATCACCAATGGCAGAGCTCCCCACACGAGTGAGAACAGTTAGAAAACTCTTTAGTCGCCCTGGCCGGCCCCTAAGGAGTAGCTCGGGCCTCCATGGGGGAGACATCCCAGAGGGAAGGGTTTTTTGGCGAAGGCCAATGATTGGTGAGCCCCGAAGAGCACACCCTCCAAGGGTGCCTCACATTGCCATGGTCCTCCCCCCAACACTGGCCAGAGCTGTGGACTGCTAGCTTCTCCAGGTCAGGGAATGACACTTCTTAAATTAAGAAAAAAAATTTTTTTAGTGTTTATTTATTTTTGAGAGAGAGAGACAGAGACACAGAATCTGAAGCAGGCTCCAGGCCCTGAGCTGTCAGCACAGAGCCTGACACGGGGCTCGAACTCACAAACTGTGAGATCATGACCTGAGCCGAAGTCGGACACTCAACCGACTGAGCCACCCAGGCGTCCCAGGAATATCACTTCTTTAGAAGAGTCTGACACAGGCCCCATTCGGTGCCTCTATCACTCGCTCTCCTAGCATAAAAGACGTTCCCACTTTCATCCTTCATGGTGATTTTCTGACTGAGGTCTCCCCCAGGCTGTAAGCAACCATCAGCACAGCTGACCAGTGCCCAGCAGATAGGGGATGCTCAGTGCATGAGATAGGATGAACCAGCGTCTTCCAGTGCCACAGACTGACACATCGTTTCTGTCCCTGTCCCGATTCACTCTCGTGCGGGGTTTCCCCCTCCAGGGACCTCACCAGGAGGTATTTTCTCCCGTCCCTACTCAGCCGTCTTCCGTCTGCAGGGAGACCAGGGGGGAGATGTGCTGAGAAGTATGGCCAGAGAGATGCTCAGTCCACATGGAGGGGTGACCAGCCCCACCCATCAAGAAGGCAGGCTTGGGGCGCCGGGGTGGTTCAGTCGGTTAAGCGTTCGACTTCGGCTCAGGTCATGA